AACAGCAAAAGCGACAATGCGAATGAAAATTGTACGTCAAAAACAGCAGAAATATACAAATCGAACGCACCTTTCAAAGTATTATCTGGGAAAACGTTTTATGTACCTATACCTACCTTTAGATTACAATAGTGAGGTCTACAAATATTGTGAATTTCAATTTACGAATCGAGATTCGAAATTACAAATATGAAATTGACGTTTGGCTGCGATCAATGTAAATGTAATCCAACGTGTTTTCATGGAACGCGATTGACTAGATGTATTGAAATTGAACAGTACAGTTTTTTTTTGTTGTATTAACAATGATCCAACGTGTTGAATCAAGTTTGCTAGTAAAATGAAATATACAAATTTGTATGGTATTACGTGTGATCGATTAAATCACAAAAAACACTTGGTCTTTATAATATTAAAACGTAATACAACGTATATTTATCAAATTAAACTTCGTTATAAGTTGGATCCTCGTTTTCGTTGTTAAACCTTGATTTGGATCATATCCAAAGTAATATCTACTAGAATAATTTTGAGTAATTTGGGCAACAAACGGAAAAAGTGTGAAAATAATAATTACACGGGGTGTAGCAAATTGAAACCATGTTTGTTGACCATGTAATAGCTGATTCAGTATGTAAGCACTAAGAGATAATATTAAATATTTCCCGATTCGCTGTTATACAGGGTGAGACACAAAATCGAATCCATATTGTGCGCCAGATAAGTTGAGTATGCCGCCTATGCAGCAACATTTCGGCTACTGGAGTAACAAGTGTTCGAGATCTGTTGTCACATCAGATGACGAACAATTTTGGATTATTGGTATTAGGCATCATTTAACACCTCTTTTTTATAAAAACAGGCAATGTACCCAGTTTTACAAAAAAAAAGTGACTCGCGTACTAACCTTACGTCGATCGTTGTAGAATATTTATTGTTTGTGAGGCTAATATCTGAACACTTCTACCAGGACATTTTTGAAATTCTTTAAACATATACTAAACATATTCTATGCCAAAAATTGCAATATACTAATACGACAGAAAATTAGATGTGTGGCAACGCTGTCATAAATATGTTTCATCACAGATATACACAAACAAGTTTAAAAAGTCATTATGCAAACATAAATGACGAGAGCGTATTTTGTTCCTAATAATATCTATTAATGCTAGCGTACCGGTAGGGACGAGATCCTTACCCCATTCTCTTTCAAATGAGCCGCCTATAATCGAAGTCTCGGTTTAATGAAAAAAAGTGGAACGTATACAAATACAAAAAAAAATTTGAAATGGGCATTAGTTTTACTTTTATTAGAAGTGTCTACATACGAGACTTTTTTAAATACTTTCGTAACTAGCATTACGCAATGCGCATTGTCTACATTAGAAATTTCATGAAATACCTTCATAAATATAACATACAGCATGCGTAAACAGTAATTTTGAAACCGGTATTAGTTTTAGTTTCATTCAAAGTGCCTATATATGATATTTCATTTAACTTTCATAAATAAGACAGTTGCCATTGCGCATGCGCAAAACCAAATCTTAAAACTGGTGTTACGTGGCACCATGCTCAAAAAAGCCCCGGAAGATATGCGAACTAATTTTGAAATAATTCAGGCTGGCTAATAGAAAGTCTGCAAAACGACGCGATACATTCCGCGCCATAATTATTAATTATTCCGTTTTGACAGTTGACGCTTCACGTTATTTAAGTTTACACTTTGCTTCTGGTATTTGCTTTATTTTACGTTTTCCGTCTCCAGTTTTATACCAATTCGTCTTTATCAAGACGCATATAGCTTGGATCTACGATCTGATAAGGTATTTAATTCTCTTAGTGTTTTTAAATTTTGCATCAGAATGTACGGTCTAAATTTCTAGCGCCCTCGGTCACGCCCTGTCAGGGACTTTCTGAGCGTGGTGCCACTGTAGATTTGCTGGTATTCCAAGTGCCTATGTTTAAATTTCATTTAAATGCTTCAGTAAATAACGAAGTTGGCATTGTGCAAGCGCAACACGAAATTTTGCAACTGGTGTTAGATTTGTCTTTATTCCAAATGCCTATGTATAAAATTTCATATAAATGCTTTCATAAATAAGAAATATCTTTTGCTATCTTGCGAATTAATCCTATTTATTAAGCGACAGAGCAAAGCGATCCAAGGAGTCGATGATGTGCGTCTGTCCCTCTGTCCGTGATCACAATAATTGTCACCGTCTGACCGTGAACACGATAACTGTCAAACGCTTGGACCGATTTGGTTCAAACTTTGCACAGTTGACCTACATGCCTCATGTGATAAGCCTATTGAAAATGGGTCAAATCCAATGACCCCATGAGGTCACGCCTCTCTGTCTCTGCCAAACTCTTGAACCTATTTAGTTCAAACTTTGCACAGTTGGCCTATATGCCACATGTAATAAGCCTATTGAATATTCATTGTTATCTGTAATGAAATTCATTTCTTTGGGCTTTGTCCAGCGTCATTATCACATTCCTATAATTAGCTAATAATGTAATTTATATTTCGTTGCTGGTTTCATTGATTAGAAGTTTGTAATGCGAAGATTCTTGTGGATACCTACTTCCGTAATTACATCATGTATTACAGGCTGTTACACAGGCAAAAGAATAGCAGTCAAACAAAAAAATTTGAAAAATCTTGAATATTGAAAACCTTTGATGCTGGGTATAGGGAAATATGGTATCAAACGAGGTAGATTTTTATGTAGATTACAAAAATGTAATAAAATACAGGGTGTTCTATTTAAAATAAGAAAGTTGTTATTCACATCCGGTAGAACCGGAAGTGAAAAAATGATGGTAATATTGTCTTTCGATAGATCATAAAAAAACTATGATGGTATGTACATTTTCAGATTTAAATTATTAATGAAAGCCTGAATACTTGTAGGTAACGGTATTTGTTTATGACTAATGTAGTCAATTCAAAATAAATCCAGCTCAACAAATTACAAACGAAAGAAAAGATATAAACGATACTTCAATTCATATTTACTTAGGTACTAATTGTTTGATTTGTGAATGTATAGCACCTATAGCCTGCAGCATTTTAGAATCTACATTGGAAAACATCAATAATTTGTATTGTTAGTTGCCTACAAATTTTTCTATCTAGGCGCAAGATCGAAATCTTAATTCACTCCAGAAGCGCCTTAAGGCTTGTCGGCTTAAAAAACTGTCTAGTTGTACGAATCGCACCCTGACTGGTAAATACCTTGTGCCCAAGGTAAGGATATCCATCATGGGGTCTGGGGATCTCGGCAACTTAATGAAGCTGAACAGAGTGTAACACCAAGCAGCTTTTGATATTGTAACGGAAACGCTCCAGACATGACGTCGCCTTTGGCGCTCTGGAATTTTCTACGCGCGCGATAGTGGGATTTGTGTAGGAATATTCGAGAATGTACGCGGATGTTCTGGACTTATTACTTGCGTGTATAAATGGTTGCGGACCGAACATCGCGGCAGTTTTACTACCGAACGAGATCGAGCGCGAAAATATAAATTGCGAAGTGTGTGATAAATAATCGATATAAATTGTACGGTTTTTATAGTGTTTTAGTTTTGTTTAATAAATATTGATATAAATCGAACCCGAATTTATAAATCACGTTACAATATTATGTTATTTGTAGGTTTAGGACATTTTTTTAACTTTAAATGCTTATGTTTTGTGTATTGGTATGAAGTTACCAGTTTCTCGCTCAAGCAGAGAAGACAGCGGTGTCGCAGTGACGATTGTACCGTACTCGACCGTGATAGGTAGGTGAAGGAAAAGTCGCAGATACTGTCGATACGGTACTTACTTAATAGTGGGCAATTGTTTTAATTCCTATCTATTATTACGAGCATCTTATGACGCTTAATATTCAGAAAGTCTACGTGTGAATAAGGGTTATTTGTGTTTTACATAAGGGGTTATACGGTTATCATTTCCAATGTCTCCGACGGTTGCAAGGATTCATTTTTTTAAATGCAAACTCATACGATCGACGATGTGGGCACTGTCGGCGTATTGTCTCTAGTCGGCGATATGGACCATAAAAAAATCCTGTCGACGTTGTGGGCATTTGGCGAAGTGTCCTAGACCCGAAAATTTCTCAATGCTGTCTTTGTCAAATGGTGACAATAGTGATATTTGTTAAAAGCGATACAATCGGTCGCCGGTGCTGATGTATGATTTGGAATTAGTGTCTATTAACAAATAGTCTCTAATTATATATTTCATAAAAGCGGTCCAGTCAGCCATCATTTAAATTTTTCCTGTTTTGTGCTGTTGGCAAGGTATCATTTACGTTCACGTTATAGTCACAAATGTCTTCTCCACCTGCATAGCACATAACTGACAATATAACATCAGAATTGGGAAAATTGATTTTTTTTGGTTCCTAACAATTTAATTGGGAAACCTACTTACTTAATTTACTATAGTCCGTGAAAGCATATAATTAAATAATATATGGTGAGCGCCTCTTATTTAGATGCAAAGTGTATTCAAGTACTACATCTGTAATTTATTCCACGACAAATGGAACGAATGAAGTTAAATGCTGCATAATTTATAATTTGTGTCAAATCATATAAATTATTGTTTTATAAATTTCCATATGCATTTATTCCTTCTTCCCTGCGATGCGTATCCTTAATTATTTTATATATTGAATGCTCCACTTTGGAACATTTAATGAAAACACACACACCTAGACATGATTTTTGAAACCACACCCATCCAATGCAAATGCCAATGACTTGTTTATTTCTTAATAATTGAAATACACCGTAGTACGTCCACAGTTCACAAGATTTACAATTAATCGAAAATGTGGGAGAGGCGATTTATTATTAATACCATTTTAGAATTCGCTACTTATACAAATTGCGGTAGCGTTTGTGCCAAATACACCGTTTTCAGAAAATATATCGCCATCATTTAGATCCAGTAACATACATTCATACAAACTTTCTAATTCAAGGTAGGTATTTATTTAAAAAGCTCCCAAACTGGATTTGGTGTTTCGTATCGCTTAAAAGGGCGGCACTGGAACAAAACGACAAAGAGAAATTAATGCGTAGAAGTATTTTGGGGCTTATCAGTAGTTTTCGATAACCACTTCCATTTCTTATCGTAATGCACATTGAGGTGTTGTGTTTGTTTGCGGACATTTACGAACCGCTCATAAAAATGGCGCTGCAAATACGTTGCGCTAGTATTACGAAAGCAGCACTCCTTAAAGGCTAAAAATAGATTGTTTATTACATAAAAAGAAATAATCGTACATTAATCAATACATATTCATAAGGTATGCACCCATACAAATTAATAAATTCCACATAAAATGTTGGCTTATCATTAAAAAAAACTTTCACGATCATTGCCTTCGGATGGGTGTTCTCATTAGAACCTGTAATATTAACTGGATTTCGAAGTCGCCTCTAGTTTTGCGTACAATAACGTTGTTTATTCACAAAAAATAATTACACAACTAACATAATTCGATCGAGTACGTTCATATAATATTCTAACCTTGGCAATGGCAGTGGGACGCGCGCGCGGAGAGGGTAAAACCTGCCTACTCAGCCGCACTAAATTGAGTACTTTTTTATTCTTTCGATTTGCCTGTAAACGGCTAGGAAGATGTCAAGGTTAGACTCTAAATGAATTACTCCATAAAAACCAACAACATTGTGTACTGATCTAGGCCAGGACGAGATAAGCAGTTTTTTATCGAATAATTCGAAGCTAAAAATAAGTGATGTAAACAAAATTCCGATAACAGCTTCCTCTCCTTTCAGAGTATATTAATAACTAATTCAATTAATCTGGAATGAAAAGCTCGTAAAAATACTCTTCTCCTACTCATAATTCAGTTAATATCAGATAAAGACGTTACCTATTGTATTTTTTACTATGCAATATCCTATACATGATGGTCTTGATTATGGTTTAGCTTCACTTGATATTTCCTTCCATAGGAATGGAGATTAAAAAGCGTTGGAGGTGTGGTTCTTTCGTAACCAAAACTACTATTCTAATTTACGATTTTTAATTATCCTGTACGTACAGACAACATTCTCATTCATATCTAGTAGTAGTAAAAAAACCGATGAATAGTTTGTCCAGACCTTTTAGGCTGTAAATTGGTTGCCTCGGAATGCTATCCGCCGTGCAACATACACTGGACACTTTTGACCACTGCACGTCTGTTTCTCCAATCACCTGAATAAGGCACTATTTTGTCACACTTTTATGTATAAAAAATTGGTTCTTTTTTAGCGCATTTTTGAAAAAAATACGCTATTATATTCGTTATTGCTGGCAGGCCGGCTGTCCGCGTGAGATCTCCACAACTACAATAGCTAGAGAATTCAAATTTTCACTAAAAGCTTTCTGCTATAGTGTAGATGTGCAGGCACTAGTCTATTTTGAGTTAGATTACTTGTGAGATCGATAATTGAAGAAAATAATTTTGATATGGGTTTCGGAGGTGCTATAATTTTACCGTTAGATAGCGCTACCAGTATAAAAACTTATTATTTACTTTGTGATTTGTTTTACAAAATGAAGACGTACCCTCAATTGAAATTAAATAAAATTAATTATTTAACGCAGCCACAAAATTACTCGTGAGATCGATAATTTTAAACTTCGCTAATAAAATACTGACCTGCATTACCAAAAATGCGCTTTAATCATGCATATGCTGATTTACAACTTGTTTCATATATAAACCAAATGATAATTACCGTATTGAATTCACTATACATCGGAGTGATTAATATACAAAGTAATTATGTGATACTACAGACTACAGGCATAATGCCCCACTCAAACCGAAATAGGGTTTACTTATTAATAATTGTTGAGAAATTAATCAAATTTCACTGATCGCTGTCATCTGTGGACGTACGTATTGAAGGTGTTGCGTTTTGAGTTTTCCAAGTCTTTCTCCAACAACAATTTTGTTTCTGCGAGAATGTCGCTCCTTTGGGGGAAATCACTATTATGAATAGAGATTCTTGATAGTAGATTTGAATCCAATCGAAAGAGAATCATATTATTTGAAAAAATGGCATTATATGATTCACTTAGTAACAATCAAGTAATTTATTATTTGTGGCGTTTACTTTAAACATGTAGATACCTAAAAAAACTAACCATAAGATATTGAACTGTCAAATAAAAAATAAGATCCGCGCTAATACTATAATACCGTAAATGAAAGACAAGCGTCTCCAAGTTCATTCATTCATTTTTATTTAATTCCTTCGACAAATAACATTTGTATGGAACAAGTCAATATAACATTAATTCAACAAACAAAAAACAATTAAATATTGGAAGATATAAAAAATTCTTGTATGTTGTAGAAACACCCAACTCGTACAATTTCTTTTTAAATTTTTTCCATGTAAGGCAGATTCTTATATTATGAGGTAAATGGTTGAAAATTTTAATTCCTGAAACTACTGGAGAATTTTGTCCTATTTTTGATCTGGCCAATTCTGTCCTGAACTGATCATTGTTGCGTAAATTATAAGAGTGCACATCTCTATTTGTTTTTAATTTCTCCAGACTATTAAAAATAAGTTTACTTATTTCAAAAGTTAATGTATATCAATACTCCTGAATCAGATAAAATCGGACAACTATTTTATTAAATGAAAAAACCTGCGCCGAACTGCATTATTAGGGCCTGTCGGGAAAATGTACTGTGGGGCTCCACCACATAACGCTATTTTCATTAGCACTGTACCATTTTTCAATAAAACAAAATTGAGGTAAAGTATTCGGACTCTCATATTGATAAATTATTTAATCTATTAGCACACCAACATAGTTTTCATAAGATCTTGTAAAGAGTAAAAATGATTGATTTCCATAATAGAAGTTTGAAAATGGGAGAATAATAAATTTGTCTTTTGAATAATAAAGTTATCTTTTCGTAAGCAACAATTTTTCAATTCAATTCAATATTCAGATGGAACCACAAGGTTAAATTTAAATATTTACAACATTTTGAGAAGCCTTCACTGATAACGCGTGTAGGAGAAAAGAATGGCAAACATTGCAGGTTGATAGAGAAACTCAAGAGACATTTTTGAAAGCAATTTATTATATATTAATTATTGTGTAATTGGCTCATTTAAAACGGTCATTAAGTTTAAACCCTTATTTAATAATAGATTAATTTTTTTAATTCCATTCTCTCACACGTCCATTTCAGGGTTTTTTATCGTAAGGCGGTATTTTGGTCATAACACCCATATAATACACATAACATAACAATTTATGGTCACATTATGGAGCTTGCAGAATAATCAAGCTGTCCTTTGTCTTGCATGCCAATAAGTACATGTTTACAAAACGGGAGGGACATTTAATTTCATCTCAATCTCTTATGGTTGCTGATCTCAAAAATGTAACATATTGAACATTCGGTTTATATCTCGGTTTAAATGGAAAAAAAAACTCGTTTTGATGCCCTGTATTACATTATGTTGACATACTTAATTGTTACACCATGTAAATTATGAAGTATGAAATAGACACAGGTGGCAATTACTGAGAAACACAACTAATTAATATAAACATGATGTTTAGGATGCATTTTATAATCACGAAAACGGGTTTATTTGATCAAAACTGAAAGAAACCAGTTAAAAATTGCAAAAGCGCATTCTTCTTACGAAGATTAATATCTTGCCCCTGGTAAAAAATTAACCAAGGCGGAAAGAGTACATAAATTAGTTATTTAGCATCAAGGCAATGCATTTTGCAGTTTCCGTGAGTTTCTCCAATGAAATTGTTGAATAAATAAAGATTTCGCTCTTCCAACTTAACCAAAAATAGGGAACTTATGATAGGAACACTACAAAATCTAGTTCCTGTCAATCAAGCCAAGGCGTTTTGCTGTTTCCGCCACGAAATTGGTGTATACGTCAACTTTTGTTCTACCAACTAACTAAAATGATTTGATATTTTGCAGTCGACGGGAAGTTAAATTTGATAGGTACGAATATTTTCATCAGTATCACCCGTCCTACTTCAAATAATCTCGCTTTACAAACAGATAGCCCAACCTCGGGGATTTGTATTGAAAAACGGATTAATTATGAATACATATGTCGCTTTGCTCGTTAAGTGTGTATACTTATAAGTTATATGTACTTGAAGATATATCATTTTCCGAAATTTCCAAGCGTGGAAGATTTTAATTTTGAAGCATACACTTTAATTAATCAACTAGGTCTAATAACCGCCATGATTTCGCATTAGTAAAATGCGACTGTAAAAATTGAGATAACTTAATCAATTTTATATAACAATTTATCATGTTATCAATTTACTATTTAATTTTTTTGTTATGTAAACAACAATATTTACATATATACCATTAAATTATTATTTCTGTTAATGTTTGTGATAACATAACATAGAGTTCGTCGTGCTATTATATCTCCATCGTAATCTACCCCTTCAAAGCGATAAGACTTTCTTCTTTTTGAATAAGTTCAGACCTTGGTGAAGTGAATAAGCCAAGGAGTAAATTCAATAATAGAAGAAGGGAATGCTGTTACTGTAAGGTTTTTTCATTTAGTTCACCTATACCAGCGATTCTCAACTTTTATATCCTTTTTTCACCACCTAACGAAAATACATATCTCAGTATGTAGGTAAATTAATTAATTGAAATTCATATGGAGATTGCACAATCGTTAATTCGTGTTGCCAGCGCGGCGGGCATTTTACAAGATTACCAATGTTGCCAATGCCCCTGTATTTTAGTTTTTTCAATGTATTTATTTATTTTTTTGTAGTCTTCTTTTTTTTTTGTTTTATGTGGTGTCGATTTTAAGTATGTTTTGCGTTTTAAGTCTCCGCGTTTTTGTGTACCACCGCAAATAATAATGTATACCACCAGTGGTACATGTACCACAGGTTGAGAACATACTTGCAAATTTCTACAATAAACCTTCACAAGGTCCTCTGTAAGTATCTTATTAACAACAACAAGTTTCTATTTTTTTACTAACATAACCTAACAAAGCAACGTTGTGAAATAAATAAACCACTTTTGTATTTTGTTTACGTTTAGTACACGTTGTCTCTGGAAATAATCATACTAGTCATGGGTGACTCTATTTCTCTGTCAGGTTATCAATTCCGAGGTACGGTTTTTTGTAAATAAATACAGTATTACGTTTTTTTTCTCATGATCAGTTGGAGAACAAATTCAACAGATTTATTAAATTTCATGCCGTTTCCGTATATGTCATTATAATTTTGTAAACGAATATAGATAGAGGTTAGCTATTGCATTAACATAATATAGAAGCTGAGTAGGTAATATAAGAAATATGAATTAATCGCCGAATTAACTTTTGGAACTCGTTCTAGTAAATTCATTTATGAAGTGAAAATATACGTAGATTCGAATTAGAGGCGCCTAAGATAAGTCAGTCCGCCACAAAAAATATAGTTTACATTGGCATCAATTGTAAGAGAAATTCAATATTTATATATTTTTTAAGTATATATTTACCTCGTCTTAACAGGACAAACTAGTTTGGGTTGTTGCTTGGCTTGGGGCTTCGCAAGATTTACATGTAAATATCTAAAAATCGTAT